TTCCTCAGTTCCTGAGGGGTTGTCTCTTACCACCTCTGTCCTGCTGTGTTAGTTTTCACATTACCAGGACTCGGTGTTCCTGCCCACATGGATGAGCCCCAGTACCGATGTGGGTGTGCTGTTTGTGATATCTTCACATGAAAAGTCTCTTCAGGGTGGTGGAAAGAGAGAGGCTGTTCTCCCACTCAGAAGTTCTCTGGCCTCTGCTGTTTACTATAGCCACGTTCACTGTTTCTTTGGCCATGTCTGTTCCATGTGCCCAGCAGGCGACAAATGGCTATGCTTTGTATTCCAAGTGGATTTATTAGGGATGCTGAGTAGTGCATTTGTATGCAGGATGACTTATACAAGACTATACTATAGCCTTGTGTCAAGATCTAGTCGAAAGACAGAACTGAGTGCATTGAAATATCATTTGAGAAGCATTTATTAGTTAAATGCACTTGGTTACATTTCCTCGTGTGTAAGTTCACGTAAACGTTGTTTGTTGTATTGGAAGCTGAGCTGCTATTATAACAGCAGTAGTATGTGGTGAGGAAGCGGAGCTGTTTGGGTTTGGTCACCATATCACTCAGAGCTGAAGAGGCTTATCCTGCTTAGCCCGAGTGTTTTCACAGGTCACAGTAAGCTTTTCTTCCTCTCATTTCACCTCTGAACTGGGAGTTGAATTGTACAGCTCAGAGAAGTGCTAATGTCTTAAAAGGTGTCTTGATGCCTGCTGCTGTGGCAAGGCTACGTTAGTGCTTCAGGTTCTGCTCCAGGTGCTTCAGCCATTAGGCTTTCTTGGAACTTTGGAAGCAAATACATCCTGCTTAATGTCAGCTCTCTGCGTGGTTAAAATTGCTCTTCAGCATTTAAATCTCTGTCCTGCTGCAAGTGGAACAAGATGGATGTGTTAATTCGTTGGCTTTACCTCTGCCCAATACTATGGATTGCTCCCTCTCTGGAGCTGTAGAGATTTGGAGGCTTCCTCTGCTGGAGCTGAAAATGGCCACTAAGGGTAGCAGCTTTGTAAAAGGTAGCTCGGACTGCCTTGGGATCCAGCTATTAGCACCTTTTAGCTAGTGTAAGTGTAGAAAAGCATATACATTATGAGGAGAGAGCAAATGTTTGAATAAGCACTCCAGAGAGAGCCATAGAGGCAGCATTAGCATCTAGAGGTAGCACTGCATCTAAGGACTACACAATTTGCACTTGAAACGACTTAGCTGTCAGTGAAGACAGATCACTTTCAGTGAGTTATGCTCCTATGTACTGGCAATTTCAACCTTCCCTTCTCTCTTATGTTTTTTTAAAGGACCAAAGGATTGATTTTCAGGCAGAGGCAGGGTGGAAGGAGGTGGTCCACCAGAGTTATGTTCTCAAAAGCCTATAATCCCTGCTGGCTTTTGCTGCCAGACTTGTTGCTCTTACCCCTGCCTACGGTAGGTGTGAAAAACCTCTACTTCTCCACTGCCATTCCTGATAAACTTTGGCTTAGGAAAAGCTGGGATTTGGCACTGTGCAGAAGCAAACCCAGGCTGCGCTGCAGAAAGCATCACGTCAAGGTACAGCAAGTGGGAGTTAGAGAGATGTTGCACATAGAAGTGGAACTACCTTAGTCCGTACGCTGGCAATCTTGCTGACCCTAATTTTACCAGAAAGTCTGTCTGATCTGATTTCCCTATCCTGTGCCTTTCGGTTTAGTAACTGCAGTCGCTTTGGCTGCTTGCGTGTGTTTCTTAAATTCATGGGGATTAGTGTGACCTTTCTTATTTGGAGTAATGAAAACAGAGAGCTTCGTATCAGCATCACCAAAATTGAATTTGTGGAAATATTTTGTCTATACGAGCTTTTATTTGATTCTTTAATTTATTTCATTTCCTGAATTTAGATTCAATTATGTGTGTTCTTCCTTTTAAATGTATTATGATGTTGTCCATGCTAGGCTAGCTCTTCTTGTCACAGATGCAAGTATTAATGAGCTCTTGGATCTGGTGTGTAGACATGACTGACCGCTTACAACACAATCTGAATTTGTATTTGCTTTCTAGCTCTGGAGAAAACAAATTGTCATCAGTGATGCACCTACGCAGGGGATGACTTGGTTGCTCAGGTGAGAAGCTCGGGGGGGAAAGATTGAGGTTAGTGAGTGAGCAGCATTGGTCCTCTTCTGGAGTTGTAGTTGGCTTTTTTTATTATAAGCTTTATTACACAGAGAGGTTTTTTGAGTGAGGTTGAATGTAGGTTTGTATTGAAGCAGGGACTGTTTTTTTTCCTTAAAAAAGGAAATAATTGGAAATTACTATAAGTAAATACAACTTAATTTTAGGGCAATAGGGTGTTCCTTTCTTCCTTCTGCTCTCTCACGTCTAGAGCTGGGCAGGATGCAATAAACCCTTCCATCACGGCTACATGGACTGAAACAGCTGGAAAAAGATCACATCCTTAAATGTAAGACTTGTGCTGGTATTCCAGTGCAAAGATTCCTAATGTTGTCTATTTAATATTTAATTAATATTTAATATTAATAATATATTTAATATTCTTTCTAGCTGTAGGAGTGACAAGAAAAGATTTCATGCAATTTTTCCAAAAAGGGGGAACTCCAATGGATTCCAGGACAACTGCTATGGACATGCAGAAGCCCAAGCATGGCAAGGTGGGTATGTTTCTATTTATCTTTCTTCCTGCTGCACAGCCCATCTGGTGGTTATAGTGGTGTTAAACAACTGCTGGGGTTTATCTCAAGGTGCTTTGGCATTTCTGAACTAAATGTCCCATAAATAAATGATGGTGGGGCAGCAGAGAATCTGTCTATACAGAACAGGCGGTACAGAAACAAGGACCAGGACAGGGAAGAGGGGATGATGGAAGGCGCAGCTGTATTAGCAGCTGGAACATGACAACAGGCAAAATATTTGGGGGATGAGTGTCTGATGAGGGAAGTACAGCACTGTTTCCTTACTAAGGAATAAAATTTCCTAATACTTAGTCAGGCTCTACCTTTTCAAGCTGAAATCCACCACAACATCAAAGTGAATGCCTTGCTGCTAATAGAATAAATGTTTCTAAATAGAATGTAAACGAGACGAATGTATGAATTAGAGGACTTTTAAAGAATTTCGAGTGGCTGGGTGCATGGAGTGAGCCTCATTTCCGAAACTGGCTTTTTGACACGATTTGATAACAAGTAATAAGCTTAGTTCCTGATTCTCTTGTAATTTGACATGTACCAAATCGTTATTAAATGTGTGTGCTGCATCATGCATGAAGCACACTCGGTTAAGGGAGAGGTAGTGGTGGCCTCGGTTTATTTGCAACTCACCTTCCTCCTTTCCCCATGGAAGGAGGTGGAGCCCCCCCCCTCTGGCACACCACTGTGAGGGAATGCTGAAGGCAGCCTTGCTTAGGCAGTGAATTATGGTGGGAGCCTTTCAGGGGTTAGGAGAAGCATGTAACTAGAAGTCATGTACCTCCTGTGTTCCCTCCATCACCTTCTGCCTGGAGACGAAACCTGTTTGAGCAGCCTGTATTGGGCAGTTCTTGGAAACAGACACCTTGATGGAGACACCCAGAACACATCTGCACAGATGCGGCTGACACAGGAGGTCATGATCTCATTTAATGTCACTGCTTAATCTTAACCGAGGTAATTACATACATATGGCCGGCTAACCATGACATCAACAGGAGGGTATCCGGCTACATGTGTACTACAAGTAAATCAGATTTAACTGCCACAGCCAGCAGCTGAGGATATTGGGTGAATACCGGATGTTTCCTGACAACATTTATCTAAGGAACGTACATGTATTCATCCTCTGTTTGTGGGCTGGTACCAATAATGATAAAGTGGATATAGAGTTACTTATTTGCATATATATTTCAAAAGGTGACAGGATGAAAACTCCCTGCCCCGGAAAGGGTGTAACATATTGCCCCAGCCAGCTGTGGTGCTGGGTTGACGTTGGCGAGTCATGGCTAATACAGACCGTCAGGTGGGGCTTGTTTGCTTTACTGGCAATCAGTCTGGTGAGCATTTAACACTGGTGACTGCTCTGACCACCTGCTAGCCCCAGCAGCACAGTAGCTGCAGTGTGTAAAGCCTGAGAACAGAGGCTGTTCTGTAGTACTTGGAACCAGTACAGAACGTCCCCAGCGCTTTGCCTTGGGTCACGTCAAACCTAAGCAAGTACTTGTGTTTCTCCAGAAGGCCTCACCTTCTGGCCACGCCATTATCACGTTACTGTGCAAGTGTTTTAATAGCTGTTCTGAGCAGCCTGGTCTGGTGGGAGGTGTCCCTGCCCATGGCAGGGGGTTGGAACTGGATGGTGTTGAAGGTCCCTTCCAACCCAAACCATTCTATGGCTCAATATCCATCACAGTAGAGCTATAGTTGTTTGGTATTTATTATTACTTCTGGGAACCCAAGAGTTGCTTGGGAAGCCCGCATGGTATTTTTGCATGCTGTTGCCTTTGCAGACAGACCCATTAGGTTGTTCCACACTCAATGCACTTTCCCATACAGCCCAAACAGACACCAGAGTTCCAACCTTAAAACAAGAGGATGAGCTCTCACCCCCCGTTCCTTGCTGTGCCTTTAAACTGTTTGTGAGCAGGGAATCTTTTTCTCCCCATGTGCAGTCAACTGAAGTTGAACTCTAGCGGTGTAACAGAATCACATGTGGGGGGACCCCCTACGATTCATTGCTAGGGTACTTTGTTAACCAGGCCATGAGCAGAGGCCTGTGCGATGAGCTCTGGGGAGGTTTCACGTGCCTGCCAGGCATGTGCTTTTCTCCAAGCGAGCGCTGATGCCTTCCTCTCCCTGACCCAGCTCCATGTGAAAGCCCATACCCGTACACCCCCACTGAGCCCCCCATGGCTTTTCATCCCCGCTGGACCCTACAGAAGCAAATCTGGAGGACTGGAGTCTGCACTAACGCGAGGTCTGGGTAAGTGCCCTCCCTTGTGCTGTTCACGCGTGCTCTTGCAAATGGAGATTGCAGACAAGCGGGTGAAGACATACTTCAGGTTTATTGTCGTTTAGGCATGGATAGAAACATTAACTCTTTTGCACTCTTGGTTCTTGAAACGTGCCCATAGTGAACTCGGAGCGGTGAAAAACCCAGCTCCCAGGACTGGCAATTTAAAGTGCATAGGAGATCTAGCAGAATCCCAAAAGGCGAGGAGTGGTTTGATTTCCTTTCCCGTAGCTGTGGAAGGTGAAGGACTTCTTTCTTCTCCTCTCCCCTGTATTCCCCAGACAGTGGTATGAAAATTTTCAGCCCTTCCCTATGCTTTCCCTTTTGATCTTCGGAGGTTTCTTCTCTGTATTTAAGGACTATTTGTAGTGTTATCAACACAGACAGGCGATGTTTGCACGCTCCTTCACAGGACTCGGTTACAGCTTTTCCTGTTCAGAGTCATGCCCACTGCATCAGTGGTGGCTGTTTCCTAGAAAATACGTATCACTTGGCAGTGTTCTCGCACCAAAAGATCCGTTTGTATAGAAAGTAACTTTTTTGTGTGTTCTCCTTTCATTTTGGAAAAACAGGTGCTTAAAAATTTTAGAATTTTTTTAACAAAATTCTAAAAAGAAAAGAACAAAAATCACAATATTTACAGAGATAACAGAATGGCTCTGCCATGCAAAACAAATTACTTTGGTTTTTTTTTTTCCCCCATTTTACTTTGGTTTAAATATTGACCAAGATTGTAATTTTTTTGTCTTTTTTTTGCCAAATAAAACAGTAACAAATCAAAGTTTAGAGGCATATAACAGGATTTCCCTCTAATTATCTAATACAGCATAGAGTTTAAAGGACATCTTATGTATTTAATCCATGCCAATGCACTACAGGAAGCTTTTATTAAGACATCAGTCACTACTGCCCAGACATTTAACATTTTACAAATTTACAAGTAACAGTGTTTTCTTCCCCCTAAATAATGCAAAAGTGGCAAAATACATTTCCTAACGCCCTTCTTTTTATTTATTTATTTATTCTTTTTTGCCTACCACTCTATAAAAACTTACTTTTTCCCTGGATATTTGTAAGTGGAAACCTGATGTTCTGCTTACTCTACTGCTCCCCTCCATCAAAGCTGCCTGTTAACTTTCTTTCAGACTCATCTTCTGCGTAAGGTGAAACTTCTCTCCCTTACGTACAACATTCTGTTGGCCATTTACCCTAAAACTTCTCATCGGTCCCATTCTAAAAACTCCCTCAAGCATAAAACATGTTTATAAAGTTACAAACTTGAATGTAACTAAAGATACATAGACATTTCATTGTTACAATTATATGTACTGTTCGATAAATTAGGTACCAGTTAAAAACACTAGAATTATCTCAAGGTGCATTCAATATCTGTAGCATAGTTAACAAAAACACACAAAAAATATATATATATATATTCTATTTTTGTGGAAAAAAAATGCAGCTTTGATATGACCACTTCTTAAAAAAAGTTTCCAATTCTGACTGGTATCGTTCTGAAATGAAGGAAAGGTACAGTACTTTAAGGCAGCGGATAACATAAAGGAATCAAAACTAATCCAGAATTCCAGTTCCTGATCCTAATTCTAACATGAAAGGTGACTGTTAACGTATCGATCGACTGTGTCGTGCGCTAGAAGAGAAGGATGATTAGCCACCGTCTGTACGTAGGCTAGGAATGTTCCTCGTTTTCCTTGCTTTCATACCCAGACTTCTTTGTGGAAACTCTTTGTTCCCTTTCTGTCTGCTCAGCTTTGCACGGTTTTTTAAGCGTTCACTTTTATTACCAATTTAGATTATTCTTGTCACAGCTGTCAGTCACCCTTCCCCGTCACTGTGATTTCAGGGAATGAAAAAAGGAGTTTGACATTTTCCTGTAAGACAGTCTTACACTCTAGGTACTTGCTACCAACCACGCAGAGGCTTCACTGATAACAATCAGAATTAGACACGTACCTGCTCAAAGGGTGTCATAAAAACAACCGAAATAAACCCATTACACTATACATCAGATTAACAGCAACTCCCAGAACAAAGCCTTACAGTGTATAAAAATAGCTACGTAAAAAATTTACATAAAGGCAAACAAAAAGAAATCTTCAGTGCAGACATTTACAAAAACATATTTCAAACAGAACACAACATGGTGACCTATTACCATGGCTGTTGCCAAAATTAGTTTCTTGGGGTATTTTTAGCTTGAGATAATTGTGTCTAAAATCCTTTGAAAGCTTGGGAGTATGGTCTGTTTAATACTCGAACCATGAATAGCTGTCACTTCTTCGTATATGTTTAAATACAATCCACGTTCATGCTTCAATTGATCTATATGTATTCTCTGCAAACGGGAAACATAAAGCCACTTAAACATTTTGAAATACGTTAACCAACTTAACTACTCGGTATAGAACCTTCAGATAAACAGTTACGTGAACAGTACTTTCTTCTGTCAGTGATGAGAATACGTGCTTTCATGATAAAAAGAGCTGTTGCAGTATTATTCCAAATAAATCCAGTAAGTTTATTTGGTAAGTAATGGATTTATGTCCATCTCATTTATGTAGATCTATGGATCTGAAGAAATAATGTAAGTAGAGTAAAAGATTGCACCAAAGGCACACGATTTCAACTCCTGTGTTCAATAAATACCCCCAGTTGGCTTCAGCTCCATCACCTCACTTCAATATTGCCATGTTACAGAAGGTACCAGGTCCAAAAAAAATCACAAAACAAGTCCTAACTAAAAAGATGACAGAATTTTCCAATGGAAAAATTGCAGGAGAAATACTGGGTATTTACACAGCAACTCTGTCAGAATCCAAATTTACTTCTATGCCGCTTTCAAATCATTCACGGGGCATAATTTGGTATTCTCAATCCCCTTTTCCAAAGTAGTAAAACTAGTAATTTCAGACAATGCTGACAGATTTAAATGATTGAGAGCTGCCCTTATTTAAATAAGGAACTCTTTAATGTAAATATGCAATGCCATAACTCCACTACATGCTTAAGATCAGGGCTGTCTACAGCTTTCCTGTTGAGGCACCCACAATGAAGAGCCACAGAACTTGCACTACTCTCATTTTGCAGAACAGCTGTTGGCTAATTCAAGAAGCCTGTAGCTGGTTACCTGGTTTCCACACTCTTTTGGTACCACAGTGTTAATGTAAAATGGCCTCAGTTGGCCAGAAAAATGGTCCAAAGCCTTACTTTGGGTATCTAAGAGGAGAGACGCAGTTGTGGCACGTACATCCGCAGCACTGGTGTATATATATGTGAACACCGGGTGGTACTGTCGATGCTTCGTACTGCTCCTGAACCTCGGCATCTACCTAATTATTTGTTAACAGCTTATTTTATAGGGATCCCAGTTGGATCATACTGTTTCTAACTTAATATACAGTGTCTCTTTCCAGGATAAAATAGTATTAGTATGTGAAATCTTGAGTAAGAATTATTTTATTCTAAGGCAAGTTTCATGCCTTTTTCAGTCATGATGAATAAAGCTGACCAAGGACCTGGAAACAAATTTGCTTTCAGTATGGGAAGAAGGTTCCTGTGAACTTTTCAAGCCGTAACTCAAAACCTCCTAAAATATACCTACACGCCCCCTTCGTATCCGTACACACCCGCACGTATACCGCAGTGATGCATTATACAAATCTGGATTTTCATGTCCCCAAATCCATGGTTAAAAATAAAGCCAAGTACTAAGTTAGGTCTAAATATCAGGCTTCTCTAATACATACATATGCAGGTATGAACTCTTAACTGGCTGGGGGCTCCAGTCTATCTGTCCTAATACTCCACCACTCAAAAATCACTCCAGTGCCTAACCTCTGAAAGGTGAGCGCTAGACTCCGTGCTGCAACTGTGATCACTAAAAAAGAAATGGTTGACAAAGAGGTGTTAAATGCTGCAGTATGAAACGCTTTACCTGGGGTGATGACTGACACGTTTTCTCTTAAGTTTCAGATTTATGATTGTTTTCTTCTAGTTTTTTGTTTTCTTCTATATTCCCAAGATCTTTGTCTACATGTTTTGATGCTGTCCTGTAATGAAAAAGTAAGGTCATTTTTGCATGCCTACAGCATTTTGCTCCCTTCTCACTGTCTCCTTCCCTCTCTGTTCTGAGCAGAGCAAAAGGCTTGCATATGTCTGTAAACAGGTCAATAGCATCAGTTCCCCTGCTGGCATTAGCACCACAGGAAGCACTGCCGCAGGGTCATGTATTTGGGTTTGATTTACTTCTTGAGGAATTCAGAATTATTCTGAGCTAGCATTTAGTAAGGTTAAAGCAGTTGTGCAGACCCACGTTTCCTGACAAATTAACTGTGTAGCTTGTTTCAATAAACAAGAGTCTGCTTTAACGTACTAAACTGTTACAAGCGTGGCTAGGGTATCTTGATCACCATAGCAGTCTTGTACTTGCAGGAACTGACTTTCAGAGCCGGTGCCAAACGCAGGCTCTATAAATGTGAAGAAATTAATGAATTTTCTGGAAACAACAGGAAAAATCACCCACTCTGGCTTCTCGATCTGCGCCGGCTGTGACTGGCAAGCGCTGGGTAAAGAAGAGACTGTGTAAATGTCGAGTCAGAAAAAAAGAGGTATGCCTCCCTGAGAATAGCATGTCTTCCTTAATGCGAGCGGTGGGTATGAATTAGGGAGTCAAGTGCTTAGTTTAGCTTAGCACAATAAAACCACAACGCCATTCATTTTAACTCCCGAGAAGCCTCACTGTCTGCCAAGGTGAAAGATTCCTGCAGTGCTGCGATAACGTTTTGAAGGGCACAAGTTTTACAATGTAAATGGGCAAATGTAAACGGGCGAATCCTTTGTGCCGAAGCACATTATCCTACGTGCCAATTTTTTTTCCTCTGGATAATTTGTTTCCCCTACAGAAAAGTAATGTCAGTTGTGACAGATTCATGCATGTGCTCGCTCTTGTTTCAGGGTGAAGACCTCTAGTGACACTGACTTGCAAAATACAATGACGACACAGGTTAGCAAGATCGTATGACATGTCACACTGACACCATGCAGGTATGCACCTCCCAAAATCGGAGGTTTTGCTAGAGGAGTTTTTCCGTGCCCATCCTCCATCTGAGCAAAGGCCGCTAGCAGCATCTAAGCACTGAGTGCCCTGAACTGAAGTAGCCTTGAACGGTGATGTTAAGAGAGTACAGTTCAGTCCTTGTCTCAGAACAGGTGCGAATGCACCTAACCCTTAACAACTCTTGGTGCACTGTGGAAATGCTGTTCTCTAGGCTGGGGAGCGGTGGAGCGCTAAGGGAGCATAGGATTTTGAGCCCCAAACCCCACAGATTACACTGAAGGGGACCACTGTAAAACAGTTTTGGTTTTAGTGCAGGTCATTTCCCAAGTGCCTGTAAGCTTAAATCTTTCAAAGCTGCATTTATCTTTTCCTACTGGGTTTAGAGTGCCTCTTTTACGTTTGTGTGGCTGACAGGAAGGTGAATGGGCTGAACAGCCACAGAAAGATCTGAACTCCTACTTATCGCAGGCTAATTTAGTTTTTAAAATGCTGAGATTGCATCATGAAGTATCTTGTTCAATTTCTATTTGCTTCTGGTATTCAAAACCTAAAACAAGTGATGTGCGTATGGTCGTGAGATGCAATGAAGAAAATTCAGTGCTTTGGGATTGACCGTCTGTGATCTTAATAACGTTTCACAAATCTCTTTAATCCTAGTAGAAAACAATCTCACCCCTCAGAAATAAATCCCTTAAAAATAATAAAAAAAAAAATGTTTGCTTTAGAGCACAGGATTTGGGGCTTGTCATATGGCTAGTGAGTCTTTTCCCTAAGCAAGTCTTACAAAATTAGAGACAGTAGGGAAAAAGATGGAAAGATGAAAGCATCTGGACTCAGGCACCTACCTGAGCTGAGCTGAGTTGGAGGCAAGAAAGCAGTATCATGCATGTCTGCCCTCATGTAACCACTTATGTCTGCTCTTGCAGACAAGAGAGTGGACTGGACAGGCTATTAGCACTGCTCCCTGCAATCCTTTTTTTGGCCTCTTATCAAGAGTTTCCCAGTGCCCAAAGCAGACTGACCTCACATGATGTGACACTTAACAGCAGAGGGAACTCTAACTGGCATTACTGGTCTTTGATTAGGTTACATTTTTTCAATGACTAAGCCTGGGGATTCTGCAGTGTTACCAGGTTTTGATTTTTGAAGTGTTCTATTTTAGTTTCTGCATTCAATGAAACTGTTCCCCTCACTAAATGCCACCTCTACTTTCCTAAAGCCAAAACTGCTGGAAACGGGACATTTAAAAGGCAGCACTCTGACTCTGAACGAGGCAGGCGATTCAGAACTCTTTTGGAGGATGGTCTATATGCTTGCTTGGAATGAGAGCAGCAGTAGTTTTTTATGTCTGACAATCGGATTTAGATTTTCACTGCAGCTGTTCAATTCTGATGGGTCTGTGATCTTGCTGACTTCTTTTATTTTTATTCCCCAAATACTGATATCTAGTCATATTCACCACCTCAGCACAAGCAAATCTGCTGCCTTTTTTAGTGCCATCCAAATAGTGTTATGAAGAGACAGGAGAGTAATTCTGCGCTGAGTTACAGCAGTGTGATCCATTGGCAGTGCTCTGCCAGCAGCAGAGGAATAGCTGACCCTGGCAGGTCACCAATCCTCGGAGCTCGACAGACGTGGCCTGGGTTTGTAACAGAGAAATGGCTCAAAATCGCTTCCTGAGGTGACTTGAGGCAGAGGAATGATGGTCCTTTGCCAGTTTAACATTCAACAACAGCTGTTCTTTATGGTTTTTTGTGCATTAACTCCTATCAGCTTGCTCCATTTGCAACTCAAGAGTGACTTCCTGATGCAGCTGGGCAACACGGTCCAAATGGATAGAAATATTCCTGAGAATTTACCAAAAAGGGCAAGACAGCCCGCTTTGCTCAGGCCACTCACACGCTCTGACGTTCTCTCGAGCCCCCCGAACAGCCTATGTCTTAGCATGCTCTTGCCATGTTGTTCTGAAGAGTGAGAAGTTGGTTGCATGAACGTCAGTTCACGTCTCTCAACTGTTTTGATTTTTGGGGGTTCTTTTAATTCATTTGTAAAACATGGATCAGTCTGAGCTCTTGCTGAAATTACGACTCGGATTTTACATTTATCTAAGCTTGCTCTTCAGGAAAATAATTCTCCTCAGGGAATCCTAATCAAAACCTTTCTGTAAGTAGCACCACAGATAGGTTTCCAGGTTTCCTTGGAGTGTATGTGTGTGCTGAGGGGCTGTTATTTTCATGGATTTTGTGCACGTATTGCTCATGGCGTTGTTTGGTTGCAATATAAAGACCGTTTTCCACCTCAGTTGTTTTGCCTGCTGTAGAGTACATACAGACTGCATATAGATGATGCAGAAACTGCCGTTGTGATTTAATTCCTCATTTCTTTTGTTCTCACAAATCTAGGCCTTCACCCCCAGCACTGTTTAAGGAAGATAACCGGCCGTGCTCTTTGTCCTCTGTTCCCCAAGTCTGTGATAATGACAGGTAAGAAGAATACACACTGGTGTTCTGGGTGCTGAAGCAAGAGCCATGCCTTACTTTCGAAAGGCATGTTAACACACTCAACTGCGTAACTGCAGAAAGCTTTCTAGGAGGTAATGGTCTTATACACCCAAATCTGGATTATTTCCAGCCTCTTTCTATTTACCCCCATCTTGCTTTCCACTTCCTCTCATTATTTTCAAATGTTCACCAGAAGGGAAAAAAAAGGCAGGGATATTAGAAAAATATTCCAGTCATCAAGAAATCATCTTTTTAATTCATGCCACTTGTATAGAGTTGGCACATGAACTGATGCTTCAGAGACGTCTGTAACTACATCTTTTCCCTGCAAGTGATCGGCACGAAAATAGTACAAATGCTTGTACTAAAACATGCAGCAAGTTTCCACCCTCTTTGGCCTGCCACATTTAGATTCATTTGCTTATTTTCTATAAAAAAGAAAAGCAGAATTGTCAGGCTTCAAATGTTCAGTTTCAGAGACACTAATAACATCCTTGATTACTATGACCTAAGAAGAATATCAGGAGTTTGGTATGCTCTGAGTATGAACAATCCTAAGACTGCTGCTGTGCTTCTCTTTGCCCAGCTGAATTTTCCTTCATTGCATTGTAAACCACTTGCTCTAGGCTCAGTTGACTTAGGATTTGTGCCCCTCCAAGCCCAAGGATCAAAAATGGGACAAAGGTCCAGTCTACAGCTAAAACTGCCACGAACAGGGATACACGGTGCTGGACATAGTATTTTCTTCCTATATCTTTAATTTCTGTTGTACTCTCAGCTGCTTCTAGCAAGGTGCAAATTTCGTATGAGGGATTCACTGAAGATGAGCGTCCTAGAATCACTCAACTGAGGTCTGACACAAAAGTGTTTAGAAAGATTGGGAATTCCTAAGTTCTATTCTGTTTAGCACAAATTAGTCTATAATATCCCTTATGGGAAAAGGAGCAATCTGTAGAAAATGTGTCTTTTTGGCCTTCTGCTCAGATGAAGGAGAAACATGGCATGCTGGGGTAGGCAGCCTCAACTCTTTCTTTATCCAACAGGGGCTGGTTACAGGATGTGGAATACACGAGTCCCTGATTTATAGGATAATCTCCGTAGTGAAAATCATGTGGCAGTAATTAGCTTTAGCATCAAGTACAGCTGAGGCAGTGAAGAACAATGTAAGTAAGCGACTTCTTGTGAATATACTCCAGGGCTACAGGTGGAATTCCTACTTAGCGTGGATGACAAGACAATAGAAGAGTATACAAACCACAACACCAATAATGAAAAAAAGTAATGTTTTTCTTGCCTCGGTAGACTTGGAAAGCTCTGTGCTGCTGCCTTCTCAGACTGTCTTTTGGCGTCACTTTGGGGACAGAGATTAGGTGAGTTACTGTTCGTGAGTGGCTTCAAAAAGTAACTACTAACTGTTGGCCTGTATGGAGGTGGAGGGGTTGTGATTAGTCACAAGCTGTGTCTATAGGTGTAAGGGGCTTTTTGCAAGGTCTACTTTGATCTCCAGATTATAATTCAAAATGAAAACTGTCAGACTAGGTATTGACACTGCTTGCTCTTGCACGTATGGCGTGCTGAAAGCAGGGAGGATAACAACAGATCAGCTCAAATATATATACTGGAAACAGGAGATTTTAAGTGACTATGCATCAATTAAGGGTTTCAGTAGCAGAAAACCATATCTTAATTATGAGAGACTATTATTTAACTATAAAGGGATCTTTATTTTGTTCCCAGTGAACCTGTCTAATTAATTGTAGCTCTGATTTTTACTGTAAGCTTGCAGGAGAGAAGGTGAGCATGAGGAGGTGTTGTCCATTTAGAATATGCTATATTCTGTCTTTCAAGCCAGAAAACTTCTCTGAAATCAGAACCTCATCTCAGCAAAGGGCATGCTATATTTTAAGCTCATTATCTCTCCCCACGCTACGTAACAGAAGGAAATATAACCCAAACCACTGAACCACAGTTTCATGCTTCCACATTCTCATATTCAAAAAGGAAAGACAAAAGGAACATATTCTAGACATTATTACACCGTTAGCAAAGTGGAGGAGGAGGAGCTCAACATTATTACTTTTTAATTTATACCAAAAGAAGCGTAACCTTTGCAAAAGATTTTTTTTTCCCTGTAAAATACCTGAATGTGGTTCTGTGCTTGGGTAATTTATAGCAACCCTTCATTTGAAAAATTTCCAAAACCTGCTCAGTTATGGCTGGAGTAAAATCCTGTATATTATTCCAAAAAGAGTACTTCTGAGCAGATGGAGAATTCCTTGTTGTACTGACACATGAAGACATTTGTTCATAATAAAATCCCACTGTGCATTTTAGTTCTCATTCGATCTAATTTTAACAAAAGGTCATAGAAAGAACAACTGAACTTTAAAGACTGCTTCTCTACCTGTACTGATTTGTGCACGGTATGCATAAAACTACCTTAATCTTCCCTGTACAGAGACAGCTGTAAGAACGCTTCAGAAAATAAGCTTGCCCTCAGGTCTCCACGGAGACAAATGCATGGGAATAAGGCCGAATGGCATACAGTTATGGCCATCTTTAAAAAGCCTGAGAAACACGGTTACTTTTTGACATCATCCAGTCTAAAGTGAGCCTGTGTAATGATGAAGAAACTTGAAAGCAAGCAGGCCTCACTGGCAAGTCCTATTCTATGTCTAAGATGGATAAAACATATTGATTTAGATGACAGCTTCCATATTTTGAGCAACACAAGGTCTGTCATTACCAATTTTACTTCAGCGCTCTCAAAGTATACATGCACAAATAAATCAATGAAGGGTCTCTCTTCTCCCTCAGATGGTGTAAACCCGATAAATTCTGTAATGTATTTTATTTTTAAAGTACACAAGCTACGCATCTTGTAAATGAAGGCAGTTTCCAACACCAGTAAAGACGGACAGAGATTACATCCCCCAATTAACTAGCATGTACTATATTTAAATGCAAGAATAAGCACAGATTTGGCTGTATGGAAAGAAAACCTCTTTACAGGTGTTGAGCCATGAAAAATCCTGGAACACCACTTCCAGCAAATGAGGCCTGCTAAGCATTAGGACAGACTGATCAGAGGTACCAAGTTCCTTTTTTCTGTCTACTTTATCAACTTTTCCTCAGACAACTGGGATGCTGCAGGAGGGAAAACAGGTAAAGATACATTTCTGCTCATCATCATTTTGTTCTCAATTTAGTATCAAATTTTCCATAAATTCTTACTTTGATTTCTTCACATAGAGCCAGTAGACAACACCTGCAACCAGAGCAGCCAGCAGAAGACCGACTACAATCCCCACTATTAGCTTTGCCTGGTCATTAACCTTTTCACCGTTGTCATCTGAAGAAAAGAAGAAAAGTTAATGAGGTGAAAGCATTACACCATTTTTAAAGAATTTCCATCAGGAACAAGAAAAAGGATCTGAAAGTCAAAAATAAAAGACAAAAAAAGAAAGGAGGCGTCGTTCTTATATACACATTGAAAGCTTTAGGACTGGTGAGGCTGCACTCTGAATACAGTGTTCGGTTCTGGGCCCGTCGCTGCAAGAGAGACACTGAGTCGCTGCAGTGGGTCCAGAGAAGGGCAAGCAAGCTGGTGGAAAGCCTGCAGAACAAGTCTTGTGAAGAGCAGCTGAGGGAGCTGGGGCAGTTTAGTTTGGAGAAGAGAAGGCTCAGGGAGGAACTTGTGGCTCTCTAGAACCCCCTGAAAGGAGGCTGTAATGAGGTGGGGGTCAGTCTCTTCTCCCAAGTAACAAACCATAGGTCAAGAGGTAACACCCTCAAGCTGCACCAGGGCTGGTTTAGTTTGAATATTAGGAAAAATTTCTTCATAAAGAGGGTGCTCAGGGATTGGAACAGGCTGCCCAGGGCAGTGGTGGAATCACCGTCCCTGCAAGTGCTCACAAAACATGTAGAGGAGCCCCTTACTGACACTGTTTAGGGGTGGACTTGGCAGTCCTGGGGTAACGTTTCGACTCGATGACCTTAACGGTGTTTTCCAACCTAGCTGATTCTATGATTCTTAGTCAATCATGGCACCAGCTATTTCAAGTCAAAAACATCTCTGAGGCACTGTGGAAATCGTTCAATGACACTACACAGGTCTTGAACTGAGACAGTCAACACAAAAGGTTCTGGTGACAGAAAACCATACATACCATTTCTATCCTCTGGCTCATCGTATTCCGGAATGTTTACTGGAATGATAAAATATTACGATTAAAGTAAAGACAAAAAGCATTACAGCAGAACGTCACATTTAAGTGTCTGTTAACAGCAGTGACAGAAACGGAAACTTAATGCGGTGTTCGGCAAACAGCAAGATAATTAATCTTATTGTTAAACAGAAATCTGTCTTTTGTAACTATAAACTATCCGATTGACGAATCTTATTCAAAGTCTGTAATATGAATTCAGTATTTCTGTGCTACCCTTCCACGAACTGTCATTTCACCGCCTGTCATCACTGCAAAGTGACATTTGATTAAAGCTCAGTATGGGTGATTTCTGTTCCAAGTCATTCGTCTCAGTCATAATAAACTGGAATGTGGAGACTAAAAGATGGTGTAATACAGTAACGAAGAATGTTGTCTCTTAAATAATGTGTTATTTTTGCAATATTTTTGTACTCTTATTTTGTGCTATTGCTATGTACTATTATTTACTTTTGTAAATAATATATTGCATACATGATATAGTCTTCATAACTTTCTTGGCTAGCTAAGTGACTTCATCCAGAAAGCTATCAATAAATTTTATGTACTCCTGATACAGAGTGGATTTACAATTGTTAGACTTAGAAAAGAAAAATGTAAATATCTTCACATCAACACTACCATGCAGATCTGCTCCTATGTGAATGTAAAGGGGGTATTTTATGTTTTCCTATAACTTTAAGGAAATGGTGTTTACAAGACACTCACTGGCAGAGACATTCAGAGAGGTCACAGTTCTTTCTAGCTCATTTTCTGCAATGCAAGTTAAAGTCACATTTTCCTCTGGAGCAATTACAATTTTACTGGAAAATCTCCCGTTAACGTATTTGGTCTCCTCTGTCTGAAAAGGGAAAAAAAAAATATTAATATCCTTGAAAATTGAAAGAACAACGCATGCGGCATCTGAATTATACACTGAAAATGTATTATGTATATAAGTAAATATATAATGTATATAATAACTTTCAAACAACATTTCAGTTTTCAAAAATACAGCAACAGAAGGAATGCCTTATTTCATTAGTGATAATGTGAGTATTTGAAAGGAAACACTTTGCCCAAGATAGTCAGCCATAGCTACATTTTAGCTATAATTTGCCAGGCTACATGTATTTAGAAGTACCTTCACTGTAGTGAAGGTATGACATTGTTACTTAAATTTGCTGTACATCATTCCTAGAGTAATATAACACCAGAGAAAATTATTTTCAATCATGTACATAGCTTCAAGACCATTTGTGCCCTGTAGCTTCAAGTAAATAGATGATTTTTGATAGCTATACGTAATGTCTGTAGGATCGGAACATAACCTAATGGAGTGATAAGGACCTATAGGAGCACTGTACACTGTAATTCTAGTCTCTGTGTGTATAAATATCCAATTTTTCCTGCAAGGGCAAAATGTGGTAATGCTTTGAAGATAATTTGGTAATCAATATGAAAATACTTGAATTTGCTTATTTTCCGGGTATTTTTCCTGCTCTATATGGGTACACTTCATTTCTCCCCCAGGATGACTGCATCAGGGTTCTGTTTCCAGTGAGAAGCAACGAACATAACATAGAAAAACAACTATAAAAATTAGGATACAAACCGCAAAGCCCATAAGTAACTACATTGACTGTAGTATTTTGTGAGTTGTACTTGCCCCATTTCATGACATTTCACGCTGTTAATGCCTACATCAAGTACCCATTATCTTTCTAATGTCAGTTCTATAGTTCCATCATTATTTTTAAATTCCTTATGCACTGGCAGAATCACCATGAGTCAGATAAAACAACAAACTACCTTCAGTTAACTTAAAAAGGGATATTTGAGTTGTAGCCTTCTTTTTTTTTTCCCTTTCAGCTTTGGCTTGCAGCCACTGGATCGTCTGTGCCTTCACCTGCCCTATTCAAAAGAAGAGCTTTACCATCAGAAATCATCCATATAGGAGCCATGTAGCTGTAGCAGCTACTTCATGTTCTCTTGCGTGAATAAAACCGTCTGTTTCTTCAATCTCGGTACCTGTGAAATGTTCCCTGATTTAACATGACATCTCCTACACAGAACATGTTTGTGAATAAAGTATAAAAAGGGTACTTGCTTTATTTATGATGCTTCCAGTGCCAGTAACTGTCCACTGCACTGCCGGTTTGGGGAAACCTTCCACATGGCAGATGATCGTTTTAGACATTTTATTTGTGTTGGTTTTCTTTGTCATCTTGATTTGTGGTTTTCCTGTAGGAGCATTACAGTTAAGCACTCTGTTTGAGAAGGACAATTAATAATCATAGCTATCTATCTGCTGTGTTACCTTCCACAATAAGTTTAAGTGTCTTTCTTTTCTTTAAACCTTCAACCTCCTGGAGGGTAGTTTCACAGATGTAGTTTCCAGCATCTTGATACTGAAGACTTGAAAATGAAGGAGTTGTCTGCATTCTAGTATTGTCCTGATAAGGAAAGAAGTAAATGTCAGTGAAATAGAAGTCAGGAGACATGAATTGGAAAAGACACATAGAATGCTCTGTTGTGAATGTATGTTTGGAGTGAAATCTAAAGGGGAGAGATAGCGACAGTAAACCTTGAATACCCCACAGTGGCCTCTACCGGCAGTGTCCCGTATCAACACCCCTTTACCGGCACGGCACTGAATTGCCATATGCGGGGCCGGGGTCCTATCCTCTCTTCCTTCCTTCCTTCCTTCCTTCCTTCCTTCCTTCCTTCCTTCCTTCCTTCCTTCCTTCCTTCCTTCCTTCCTTCCTTCCTTCCTTCCTTCCTTCCTTCCTTCCTTCCTTCCTTCCTTCCTTCCTTCCTTCCTTCCTTCCTTCCTTCCTTCCTTCCTTCCTTCCTTCCTTCCTTCCTTCCTTCCTTCCTTCCTTCCTTCCTTCCTTCCTTCCTTCCTTCCTTCCTTCCTTCCTTCCTTCCTTCCTTCCTTCCTTCCTTCCTTCCTTCCTTCCTTCCTTCCTTCCTTCCTTCCTTCCTTCCTTCCTTCCTTCCTTCCTTCCTTCCTTCCTTCCTTCCTTCCTTCCTTCCTTCCTTCCTTCCTTCCTTCCTTCCTTCCTTCCTTCCTTCCTTCCTTCCTTCCTTCCTTCCTTCCTTCCTTCCTTCCTTCCTTCCTTCCTTCCTTCCTTCCTTCCTTCCTTCCTTCCTTCCTTCCTTCCTTCCTTCCTTCCTTCCTTCCTTCCTTCCTTCCTTCCTA